TCATGTCCAACCTGCTTAACATCTGTTTGCTACCTATGACGATCATTTGACATTTCGTTGGGTTAACCGATAAACCAAACCTCATCGACCAGCTCTTTATGAAGTCCAAATCTTTGTTAACTTTATCAGTAGCGTGTGATATGTCTTCAAATCTCGATTGGGCGTAAATTTGCAAGTCATCTGCATACAGGTAATACGCACATTGAAGGTGTTGGGTTACGAGATTAATAAATATTGAAAATAATAACGGCGATAATATACCGCCTTGAGGGACGCCAGTGAAAAGATCGCACCAACTGGATGACAATCCGTCAATACGAACACACTGTTGTCGTCCGAAATAGGTCGATAGTGTTCAGGGAGAGAAGGGTTATTTTTTTTGGGCAAAGAGATTATGAAAGCCTTACGCCAGATTGAGGGAAAATTGCCGGAGTCGAGTGAAAAGTTAATGATATGGGCTATTGCAGGAAGAATTTTATCCAGGATAGTGACAATCATAAGACGGCTGATGCAGTCACAGCCCATAGCATTGGAATGGATAGACAAAATAATTTTTTTGGGGTCCTCGGTAAAAATCCGGAAAAATTAAAAATTTTTTTATATTTTCCGGGAACCCAAAATATATTAAATTTAATTTTTTTTGTGCCCCCTGGGTCGGACGCAAACTTTTGGGAACCCTAAAATTGTTCCCCCCCAAAAACCTTGTTTTTAAACCAATCCCAAAATTACCAAAAATTAAGGGGAGTTTTAAAAAAAACATATTAAATTTTAAAATAAAAAATTGGTTTGGGCCAAAATTAAGGGTTCCCCCTTTCCAAATTAAAAATTGAAAACCCATAATTTTTCCAAAAAATTTAAAAAAAAAAATTTCTAAAAATAAAAATTAAAGCTCTATTGAATTTTTTTAAATTTATTGAAAATTCTTTATCCAATTAAAATTTTTGCCTTTAAAAATAAATTAAAATTTTTTATGCTTTCTTTGGGGGCCACCGGCAACGGACCTAAAAATTTTTCCCCCAAAATTCCTTCGTTTTTTAAATCCCAACCCCAAAAATTATATTTCAAATGGGGAAATTTTTAAAAACATGACTTTAAAAAACTTATGGGGAAAATTTTTGAAAAACAAATTATTTTTGCCCCGGGGTTTGTTTTTTAAAAAATAATCCGAGTTGAGAGGAACTTTTAATTTTTTTAAATAAAAAAAAAAATTTTTAAAAAAAATAAAGGTTTAATTCGTCTATTTTTTGCACTTTTTCTTTTGAATTTGGTTTTTGGAAAAACCCATTTTTAAAAAAGAACCCTTTTAAATTTTAAAAAATTTGTTAAAAAAATAAACTTTGAAAAAAAAATTTTTAGATTTAAAAATAAAAACCGGAAAAATTTTTTTACAAAAATAATTTCAAAAATTTTTTAATTTATTTAAAAATTTTAAAAAAAACCAAAAATTTAATTTTTAAGGGGGAAAATTAAATTTAAATAAAATAAAATTTAAAAAAAAAAACTAATAAAACTTGAAAAAAAAATTTTTGGTAATTGTTTAAAAAATTTAAAATAAAATAACTCAGACTTAAAGCAACAAATTTTGGGTGAGGGTTAAAAAATCAAGACCCTTTCAAAAAGCGGGTTAAAAACCAAAAAAAAAAAATTGGGTTTAAATAGACACGCAGTAACCGCAAAGTCCTAAACTATAAGTTTCCAAATCGTAAAGAACTATTAAAACCTTGGATAACGCCTGGCTTACTCAGATTGCATTTGAAATCGGGACGCATTGCAAAGAAAATTTAAAACAGGCACCTAATAGCGAAGTTTTAAGGTAAAAAACTAAACAAATATGGTCCGCAAGATATCAGGTAGATCGATCAAAGAAAGTTAATACATCATTACACTTTTATTATTTATATTTATATTGAAATTATGTAAATGACTTCTTTGCTAGAATAAGTAAAAAACTAGCTAAAAATATAAAGACTAAACCAACAGATGTAACAAAGGTATACCTTCCCGAAACGGCGAAGTCCACGGTTATGCTTCCAACTGATGAGGTGGACGTAAAAATAATACCTAAAATCACTTCGTAATAACTATAGTGCAGAATGGTATTTGATATTCAGTGACTTTCTGAAAAAGCATGAAAGTGCAATTGTACCCTCCCCTGACTTATATAATATGTAATCTTGGCCTCTCCACGGGTAAGTTTCCCAATGTGTTTAAAAACCAAGAATCCATCCGGTCTATAAGAGCGGGGACAGAAACTGTATGGGCAGTTATAGACCAATAGTTGTCCAATAGCATTTTCCAAAATATTAGAACATGTAATGACCAAATGACCAATGAGTCTACCAAGAAAATAACTTCATTACACCAACACAATTTGGATTTCGCTCCGGTAAATCGAACCTCTGATGCCTTGCATGATCTCATAGACTATAAAGTCTCAAGAATGGAAAGTGGTGATCCACTTTTGGGAATATTTTTGGATCTCTCGAAGGCGTTAGACACGGTTACTGTTCCATTTCTTGTAGACAAGATAGAGCGCTTGGGAATCAGGTTGTGGAGGAACGGGTATCATGTCCCAACAACACAAAGGGAGGATGCTCCGACCAGGCGAGGTGATCCTGCCTGGCGGACCGCGGCCATACGGTTTAAGCTGCTTACATGAGGGCTTACATTTCGCAAGTTTGAAAAACAAACAAATTCGCAAAAATTAATTAGATTTACTTTCTAAATTTAAGATCAACTAATGTTTTTGATTGCCTGTCGCCTAACATCTCACTATTTTTAAATATCCTATGGCGGTATATGTGGCGCAATCCAATGCGATGACATCATCCCAAATCAACAGTCGGGACATTTTAACCAAGACAAACGTTTGCACGTCATCCAGTTCAAAAATATGAAACCAAATGAACATAGACGCGTAGCACTTGTCATGATGTGAAATTAAACACTGACTACGAGTACACCTCGTTGTCGTAATCGCATGAGATCACTCCCTATTTTTGACCAAGGAAACACCATTGATCTCTTCATTGTTATGCAAATTGCTGGCCTGCACCACTAGGCCCAAAGTCTTTAGGATTTGTATAATTAGTATTTGTGTAGATAATTTTATGACAAGCTATTTTAAAAAGGGCCGAATTCATCCAAGTCATTTATTATAAGGATTTTAACATTTAGTTCGCTGGCTATTCTTATTATACTAATAAAAGATTATTATAGATCTGAGAAACGATATCCGCGGGAGAACGTCTTATTTCTGTTTCACATACGTACACAAAACTATCCATTTATATTTGTTTTTATTCATATTTTAGAGTTTTCAAATACTCTAGTGGATAACCACGCAGGCTGGCTTCCGAAGTGGTTACTCCGCAATAAACCATTTACACACTGTCAAGCAATTGATGGTGAGATGTAGAGAGTGTAACCGCTCACTATGTTTTAAAAGCATTCAAAAGCGTCGAATACTGGGCGGTGTTTCACTCACTCCATCGTTTGTAATATTGACAAGTGGCTACGTGAACATACTTCGGGAGTTCTATAAGTCTGCAACAATGCTATTAAGCATGCATAGTTATCTGACCTTATACCCATACCCTTTTGGATTACATCATGGAAACTTTGGATTGGGAGAAGAAAGGCATTTACATCAACGGCCGCAACATGTCACACTTGCGTTTTTGCTGACGACCTCATTCTCGGTGCCGAGTCCGCCGGCAGAACTCCAGATCTTGCTCAACCAAACTGCATGAGGTTTCATTGAGCGTCGGCATCAGAATGAACATCCTTTGACTGGGGCTCCCAGTTGCGAGAAATTGCTAGGCTTATTCAATTAGGGTGGGCTTTTGTCAGTCAAAATTCCCGCAATGTTTGAAAACCAAGACTTTCAGCCAATATGTTTCTGCCGATTCTCACTTATGGATCTGAAAATATGACCACTCACAAACGAGTAAATATATGCCATAAGGATTGCTTAAAGAGCCATAGAGCGGGTCATGCTAGGTATCCACCTCGTGGACCGTATATTAAACGTCGAAATTCGAAGCCGCACCGAAGTCGAGGATGTGGGTATGCGGATTGCGAGGCTTAGGTGGGAATGAGCAGGGCACTTGGCCAGACCTGACGACGACCGATGGACTACGGCAGTTACAAAATGGTGGCTAAGAGATATGCGGCGGCCTCCAAGCAGACCACCTGCCGATGGTCAGACGACATTGTGAGACGGTAGGAGAGCAACGGATCCCGATGGTACAAAACCGCCAGAAGTGGCGTGATAGAGAAGAGGCCTATACTCAGCAGTAGGCGCAACGCGCGGCTTAGATAGATAGATAGAAATAAAACCCTACTTCTCCATTTCTTCGATCATCTCTCTTATACTCCCTTTAAAATCAACTATATCCTAAAATGAGTTATATCCAAAAAATAATTAAAGCAATTTTAAACAACGAGCGCAGGCCTCAGGGCAATGCAGAGCTGTTCTTCCCGAAGAAAACTTGATGTGCTAATGTAAATAATTCCACTAGAATCTGTCTAAGGTAAGCGTACGTACCTACCCAATGAGGCTCGTTCTCCTTGATAACGTTACACAATTAAAATACTAGATAATATAATAGATAAACGTTGACAGGAAGTAACTCCGAGAGACAAGATAAAATATCATAAGTTCCACTTCAGTTTATTTTAAAAATATACTTCCTTTTAACTTCTTTCTAAGGAGAGACCTATTTCCAGCAATTGACGGGTCACTTGACGGAAAGCGACTACCGCCGCCCATGACCGCCTGCAACTCAGGACTTAACTCAACACAAGCGCGTTGCTGGTCCTTGATGAAGGAGTACACTCTTTTCTTGAAGTTTGACTACTAAAAGCTGTTGGTGATATAGGATATAATAGCTTATGAATAAAACGAGTTTATTTTCATTATTTTTTTTGTCGTATATTATTTTATGTAGGTAATTTTTAAATTAATTTGCAGCCAAAAGATTAATAATCAGAAAATATCACAGATTTACAGTTTTTTTAGGTAAAGCTATTGCTACACTCTTCACTTCCATATACTCATCTAAAGTGTGCAAACCACTGTAAGCAAAAAAAACAAAAAATAATTAAGAAAATGTTTTTGCCTATAACTGTTTGAGAAGAAGATTTAAAACGATCTGCTCAAGCAATTTGTTTGGTTCTAATTGTACCCGTGTAGGTACTCAAAAAAATTGACTCTCTGAAAATTAGAAACGAAACCTCGAGGCTTATTTAAAGTGATATTATTACCTCTTACAAAAAAACACTAAAATAAAAGTGTTTTATTTTCGGGATCTCACTACAGGTATGGAAAAGAATATGGAAATTAAAAGAAACATTATTTTTCAGAGAGAAATGTAATTTCATTTTACTGAAATGATTCTTTGATTCATATTTCATGAAAAATTTGTAATCGTATACTAACCCTTCACGACCAATGCCTGAATCTTTGAATCCTCCGAAAGGTGTCTGGGGGGTCATGGCAAAATATGTGTTCACCCTGGAATAAAGAAAATATATTGTGTTTTCTAAATAACTGTACTAGCCTGAATTAAGAAAATCAATTTCATATTAGACGATTTTTAGAAGCACTTGAAAAGGTGTTTTTGGGACACATTCAAAAACCAAGTTTATATACTCAAATATCTGTAAATAATAATGAGTCTAGGTACTAAAATTTTGTTATTTTCTTAAAATATTGTTATTTTCTATTGTAATAGTGTTTTTTTTTTAATGAATAGGTGATCATTATAATTACCAAACATTGCCAGCCTCAGCGTGTTTAGTAAACTGCAGAGCGGTGTTGATATCATTTGTAAAAATTCCAGCTGCCAATCCGTAACTAGTATTGTTAGCACGCTCAAGAACTTCTTCAAACGTTTCAAATTTAAAAATACTTTGTACGGGACCAAAAATCTGTAAGGAAAATTTAATTGTGGATCATTAATTTGGCAATTTCGTAGATTAGAATTATGCAAATACAACAAAGAGAATAAATTTGCTATTATAATTGATATTTTTGTCTTTTCTAAATATCGTAGTATAATAAACAATTATTACCTCCTCCTTAGCGATAGTCATGTCATCTTTTACGTCAACAAACACCGTAGGCTCTATGTAGTACCCAGTAGTACCGACTCGCTTGCCACCCGTCAGACATCTGGCACCTTCTTTTTTCCCTTTCTCGATGTACCCTAATACTTTTTTAAACATAACTTCGTCTACCTAAAATAGAGAAAATGTTTTAAAGTTATGTGTCTGATTAATTAAAAAACTACTACAAATATTAAATCTTAATATCTGATTATATTAGAAAACTAAACTATATTATGAAAAGTTAAAATTTCTAAAAATGTATTTACCTGCGGTCCGTGCTGTGTAGTAGGATCAGCAGGGTTACCAATTTTGATACTTTGAGCATACTTAACGGCTGCCTCTACAAAACTTGTCATAAATTCCAGATTGTACATAAAGCCGAGAAGCTGCTATGCAAACTTGTCCTTGAAGTAAAAATACTGCATTAGCAGCAAATGGGACAGCAACGTTCACTGAAAAGGACAGGAAGTACCATGTAGGCATGTTCATCCAAATTTTATGTTATTAAAACCATAAATTGGAAAATGTTGAAAATCAAAGTTATTAAATTAGTATATTTTCAAGTAGGAGACTTAGCTGATGAAAAGTTATCACTGGTACTTAGACTGCTAAGATATTTATCATGCATTATGCACTGTCCTTGTTAAGTTATTTATTACAGCCTACTTTTTGGAACTATAATCAAACTTACAATCGGCATCGTTCATTATAATAAGCGGACTTTTACCGCCCAGCTCCAAACAAACACGTTTCAAATTATTTGCTCCAGCTGCTTGCTGAATCAACTTTCCGACCTGTAAGTAAGGTGTTTATTTATAATTTACAAATAATTTTCATTACGCGTGACTTTGTGTCTTACTCCATCGCGCTGTTCTCATATTCTTTTCCTTTTTTTAATGTTTTGTCAATTCTCTGTACTGATTACCGTTTTTAATGAATATCTTAAATATAATTTATTTATTTAAGTGACTTACTTCTACAGATCCAGTGAAAGATATTTTAGCCACATCTGGGTGGTGTGTGAGAGCTACACCAGCAGTCTCGCCGTACCCATTAACGACATTTACAACACCTTTGGGAAAACCGGCCTCAGCCACTAAAGCGGCTAAAGCTAAAGCAGTCAATGGCGTTTGTTCAGCTGGTTTCACCACTACAGTGCACCCTGCAAATAGACAAATAAATATATGTGGAAATATTGTTTTGCAATATGATATTGCTGTGTTAATAGTAATTTGCTTTAAACTTCAAATTCTTTCTTCTTCTTTCTTTTTAAAAATTAACTCCCGCACTAGGAATATATCCTGTGTCATGGGGAAATTTACAAAAATACATGAAACGGGCACAAAAATAGGCGGACTCAGAACAAAAATTCGTGGATCACAAGAAGTATTGTCACATTGTCCATAACAGTCAGCGCAGTAGGAAGCCGCGACGTGACCGCTTAAACCACTACGCCATCCGTGCAGTTAGCCAATTGAACCATTTTGTACACAATATAAACATTTACAGAAACAATACAAAAAGGAATTGTATGCACAAAGGCGAGCTAAACCCATAATTAAGTTTTCTTCCAACACACCTATGAGTGGAGAAAGGGTTGCACAACACAAGAGAGTGGAAAAATTCAAAGAAATTCAAGAAATAGAAATAAACAACTTGATATATACAGAATTAGAAATAAAAACAAAATAACCAAATATCATGTAATTAAACTATAATATCACGTAAGTTTACACATTTTATATTTATACATATGTATACACTGTGGCGGTATAGATATCACAAAAAATGAAATAACAGATAACACGGTTCAATATACGTCGGTTAAAATAAAAAAAAAAAAAAATTAGTACGAAAATACAGAAATGCAAATTTAGAACGAACTAAATACAATAAAATAATTTCCGAATTAGAACACCATTGATAACATGAGTCGGTGAACTGTACCTACACGGCAGCATCGCAATGTCGGCGACATCAAAACGACGCCACCGCCGGCGCCGCCGCCGCCGCGGCCGCCGCCGCGAGCCGGCGAACTTTACATTCTTATTACCTACCTACCAATCACTTCACTTGCTTTTAAAAATCTATTTATAAAGAATGCGATTTTGTTCACGTGTTTATTTCGTGAATGCTCGACTAGCTTCCGACCCAGCAGTACGCGTCACTCCTTGAAAAAGTAGTTACCTTGGTTGTCTCGTAATCTTTGTACCGCCCTTACAAAAATTCGGCAGTCTGTAGGACATACACGATTGACTCCATACGTGTCCGTAAAGCAAAAGATGCGTTTTGATAGAGTTTTCCATAAATTAACATCATAGCAGGATATTCCGCGGCTGTGAAGGTCACTCACGGCATTATGGATGTTGATATCGATAACCCAATAAAATTAAAAGACTGATAATGCACTCAGTTTCACACTACACTACACACAGAACCTAATAGTGACTTTTCAAAATAAAATTAGCAGGACTCCTTACATTACGAAGTCTTGCGCACACGATAACATTAATTGTTCACACCATTGCCGTGTATTATGACGAAAGCAATAAGACTAAACAATTATTACCACAAGAAAACTTCTCTAAACAAATATGTATCTCATAAACAACAACAATATTATTATTACGGTTATTTGTCGTGAGCGCATCTACAAGGATACGGAATAGCATAAGCTCGCCGGTGGCCAAGGGCCGACTGACTGTCCTTACTGGATGAACTAATTAAAAACGCGTGTTGCATCGTGATGACGTAATAATCAACATATTTCGTTCGATTCGGGTGTAGTAAAAGCGGCAACGTGTGATTACCGCGCCGCGTATACCTACAGCTGATCGCCGCCTGAGGTCAATGTATTATGACTGCATGTACACATGATGTTGCAATTTACGAAACACAAAAATGAGTCCTGTGGCTAAACTACTGGATATATTTTGTTCATATTTTGCAAATCGCCTAGAAATTAAGGGCAGAATATGTGGCTTAAGTATTTGGGAAAGGAAATGAAACTCTCTGTATATGAATCCCAAATATCCAAATAGTATACAAGATTTTAGTTTAAACAAATTTAAATCCACATTAAAACGTAAACTATGTGAAAAAGCCTATTACTCAGTTGTGGATCACATAGAAGACAAGAATGCTGTTTCGATTAATTTAGCACAGGCGTTTTCGTAGTGGAAATGTGATATGGACTAGTGTGTCTTTGATTGAATTTTCAATTTTTATGTGTTATTTCAGATGCTTTTTTTTTTTACCTCAGCCTATGCTTGTCCACTGCTGGACATAGGCCTCTCCCAATGATTTGCAAGCATTCCATCATTGGGATGCTTTTTTATTTCTTCTTTTTTCCATATCTTGTTTTCTCTTCATTGCATTTTTACCTTTTAGTCCTTAAAAACTTACATACTGGCACACATCAAAACAATATTGTGTATATTTAATGATGCCATTGTTATCTGTCGATTGAAAAGAGTGGTCGTGAGTTTGTTTGCCCTTTCTTCTCATGATGCTCAATCCCTTGAAAATGCGCAGTTGTAGATCGGCACAGCCATATAAGAGATTTTCGATAAGTATTTATTTAGTTTGCGTAATTTTTGACAAAATAGAGATTTTTGCTATTGTGTGTGTTGTAGTTGCCCTACAACCTCTGCATAATTATAAATCTCCCAGATTCATGACGAAGCAAACTTAATATTATTAATAAGAATTAATAAGAAAACTTAATATTATTTTGCGATGAATTTTTTTACCAGAAAACGCTATTAAATAAGTGGAGCCTCGAACGGATTTCCTACGAGTCACACAAGTTGAGAATTGAGGGGAAAAATCAAGATTTTTTTCGAGATAAAAGCTTGTTTTCTCGTAAAGATTCTAACGATATTGACATCAGCAACTCTCATTTTCTTCGTTTTGCACACACTACAACCTATTTTTTGTTTTTCCATTAAAATTGTTTGCCCCAGTTTTTTTTTCAATATAAATGATTTTTTAAGCTAATACTTTTACCAAAATTATCACTTTGAAAAAGCCCCCTTTTTTTTTTGATCTGAACATTCTCAGTCTGTACTACAAATGTAAGCTAGCTTTATAGTATTTATAAAGCATTAAATAGCTCTAGGCACTAAGAAATCAAAAAATGTTTCGAACAATGGTTTTACGGATGTTTGAGTTTAAAGTTAGATAACCAATGCTAACTGTCAAATACAAGATGCAGACACATTGTGAAACACGCTGTGTACGAATATAATGAATTTGTTGTTGTTTATTGACTTCTATTAGGTAACTTCATAATACTCATAATTACATTGATAGTTTGGTTCGCTATTATATTCCAACACGAATAAATTTAAAAAATACATTGTGTGACATGTTTGAAAGGAACTTACCAGCGGCTAAAGCATTGCAAACTTTTATCAAAAAAAGTATACTGGGACCGTTCCAAGGCAGAATCAATGCAGCAACACCGACTGGCTGTTTCAACGTATAAGATAGAAGTTCACCATCTATGAAGCAACAAAAGATTATAATGTGACAGTCACGCTGTATTTACTTTGAGTCACAGTAGTCACTCGTCAACAATTGCTCCTACACTTTTTTGGTGGAAATTAATAGGTATTGTGTTAAGAGAGGTATAAGTCATAGCAAGGAAATGTAATATTCATCTGCTTAGGGCAGAGCAATTTAAATCAATAGGTACAGGTGTGGTAAATGCAAGGACAACCTATTCTATGAAAGTGTATAATGTTTGGTAGTTAGTAATACCTGCCGGTATGGTGTCACCCTGTACTTTATCGGCTAAGCTTGCTAAATACCGTACGTTTTTGCATTGAGCGCTCAAGAAATCTCTCATAGTACTCAGGAGGCCTCCATTGTTATAAGATTCTAGTTCTGCAAGATATTGAATATCTCTTTGGACTAGATCTCCCAATTTGTTTATAAGGGCGCCCCTCTCAGATGCATCCAGTAGGCGCCATTCTGAATTTCGGTGAAAGGCTCGTTTAGCTGCAGCCACAGCTAAATCTACATCGGCCTGTTTAAAGAACACAATGGTATTAATTTCTGACAAAAAATTGACACAAATACTAAAAGTGGACATCGCGACAGACGTTATGTGAAACAGATGACTGAATAACTAAAACTAGTCCTGTTCCATCCATAATAAACACCTTAATGACTAAAATCTAAGGATAGACCACACTTTGCGTAGGAACTCCGATTATATGGCTAAACTGGCTCTGGATTAGAACTAGGAAGGATAACGTAAGCATGGCTGCCCAAAGCAAACCGGCAAGACATGGAGTGAAGTCAAGTGCGAATCTTAAGGCCGAACGTGATAGAGGATTACTGTGGACGTCCTCTGCCCTATCACGGGGCATAGGGCATTAAGAGATACTTCAGTCCGTCTAAAGGCCGTTTCACGTATCTTATAGCAATTAAGAGTAACAGAGTTTGGGATATTTTTTTTCCTATTTAAAACATTAACAATTTACATTCGTTTCTGACATTCATGCCTACAAACCTTATCTCCTTCGGAGACGTGCGCGATAACGGATCCGTCATGAGGGCAGGTAGTGGGAAATGTTTTTCCACTTACAGAATCCACCCCACTTATTGTCAATGAACAACTGTAAAAAATAATAATCAATGGTCACTTTCAAGTAACGTAATCAATATCACAAAGGTAATAAACTTTTTCCGTTGCTTGGTTTAGATGTTTACCGACCTATATACGAGTACTGACGACAATTTTACAGGTGAATGATGATCAAGCGACGATAAAGGTGAGGGCAATGTTCTCTCTAAAATCAACCGACAGCTGTCTGCCCTATTATAAAAAATATAATATTTTGACACTACCATCCATTTATATACTCGAGGTAGCTATGTTTGCCAAACTAAATCCTAATTTATTTGTTTTGTCTTCTGACGCGTATGGCCGAATGCAAAGAGATAAATCCCGGCTATGCCTGTGTAAATCAAACACTGCTCTAATGCATAACAGTGTTTTCGCCATGGCTCCAAAAATATATAATAAATTGCCTAGGAATATAAAGGAGTCAAATCCGACTATCTTTAAACAGACATTAAAAAAAATTCCTGAGCCAAAAATGCTATTATAATGTAAATGATTTTCTGCAAGACAAATTGTAAATCAAATTAATTTCGTTCATTGTTATTTAATTTATGTTGAACATGACAATGTGACATTTTTTTATTTTTATTATTTTGACTATTTGATTATTATTGTTGTTTTTTTTTATTATTATTTTTTGGTTTTATTATATTGATCTGACTTAATAGCATTCATAATACTCTTGACATTATTAATTCTCTGAATAAATTTATGACATGAATATATTCTTCAAATTGTATTTGTAATGTTGAACGTCTAAATAATAATCTTTTAAATATCTATGACTAAATATTTGCACACCTTTAAGAGGTTATATTACAGCGTACCTATGTATTATATGATGTTCTTCTACCACCTTTATACCTGTTTTATGCAAATAATAAATGATTTTGATTTTGATTTTGATTTTGATAAAGCCTATTGTGACCTGTTGGTAATAGTTTAATGTTCGACAAAATGTTTTGTTTTTGCAGCTAGCTACTAGCTTTTTTAGGGCGCATAGTATAGATGAATATCAAGAATCTATTCGTTTTTTATTTATATAAGTCAGGTGTATAATAATAACTGATACCTTACTGAAATAAATACCATCAAAGTGACGTTATTGTTTATTATTTGAAAGATTTAAAAAAATATGAAAATACACATTTAATCAGTTAATTAATTTATTTACGGCTGGTAATCTAAAGTGCAAGAGTTAAGTTATAAATATTAACTACTTTCAATAATCATCATCATCATCAGCCAGCTGGATAGATAGGCCTCTCCTATTGCACGCCACTTCGATCGATTTTCGGCTTCTAGCATCCAGCTCCTGCCATCCATCTACAATAATACAATCTAATATCTATATCAATAATTTTTACAAAAACAACATATGTTATACCTACATTGAAACTGTCAAAATAAATGTAGTATCTGATATGAACTTGTGTCAATGTAATATATCTTTACAGGCGTTATACAAAAATAATCAAGTAATCAATATACGATAAACAAGCCGGCCGGTCGTACTGTTTTGATACGAAAATAGAAAGACATATTTAATAAGACTGTTGATAAACATACTCATATGTTACTAAATACATTTTTTTTAATATTATGTAAAATAGTAATACGGATAAATTACTTGATCCTATATATAAATATTTTTGGCAACATTACCGAAGTGCAGTTTATTGTAATTGTACGAGTATATAGATACCTTAGTATATTTAATTTGTGGAGCCATATTACACTATGAAGACACAATCTAATAATCAACAATAATACGTGTGAACGTCTAGCGAGTCACAAAGTCACAAATTCGACTGAAGTTGGAGTCTGAACGTTACGAGATTTTAAACTGTACATATATACATATAAGTTTCAAGCTTATCATTGTGTATGCGATATACAGTATACCTCCTTACTCTCGTACAACAAATACATATCACACATATGACATAATACGTACTGATAATGAATCTTTAATCACACATTTTACCGTCTCTAGTTTAAACTTATTACAACACCTTGCTACAATACAAATACAAAAGTGCTTATACTCAATCCAACCCAATCAGGTCAAAACTCATATTTTGAATCAGTACTGAAACTAAAACAACTGAAGAGAAACATTTTTATAAAATGTGGTTGCACACACACATTGGGGTTGCATTAATGAGATATGATGAACAAAACTTAACCAAATTTAAACAATCGTTAAAGCGATTTTACAGAAATCGTCTCCAAATTTGAGCTCAATCGGTGCAGAACTATTTGAGATTTTGAAGCGTGCACAACCAACATTACATTTAGATATTAAGGTGATATTGTAACGTCCCGGCAGATATCCCCGGCATAAATGCACCTTCAAGCCAGAAGAGACAGTTGATGATTCTATACCAGGTAAAAGAAATTAAGGAATCGTCTTGTTGAGTTCTTAGATAAGTCTCTCAATGCTCCTTGGCACATAAAACGTTTTTTAAATTTGTTTTTTTCAACAAAGGATGGCAGCATAAACATTTATAAGCACCAATACAAAAAAGAAAACTCACAGAAAATTGCAAAATTCTGATATCAATTAGAGGTACAAAAGTTCCTTATATTTCAATTCGTTATAGGCCAACATCACCCATGTTATCATATGGTAAACAAGAGTATTACAGCCTGGGCTTAACATTGATACTAAAGCTATTTAGGATCAATTTTGAGCCCAGGCTGTAATACTCTCGTACAATGACATAAAATGTTCCTGGTTTTAACCGGACGTCAAAATCACAAAAGAGGAGGTTATCAATTCGTCTATATTTTTTTTTTGTATGTTGGTTTGTGAACCGATTTTCAAAATTCTTTTTGTAATCGAAAGTGTATCTGATGATGAGATCCTAGAAAATCGAGGGGCAACACCTCAAATTTACAGCGCCGACAACGTGTGTTAGCTTATTTATCTAGCTTTATGAGTATTTGCATTTAATAGTCCATTATGTCATGTTGTTGAGCAGATGATGGCAGGATTGTTGACCTATAGGAGTTAAAAATAACTCTTTCAAAAATTTAATCATGTATTGATCTTGTTTTATTCTTTCAAGATATTTGTAAGGTATTTGTGTAGGGTTATAGAGATATAGTAGTAGGTCCGTGTGGTGACGGATTAAGAATACAGAGTGTCACCACCCCTATTCATCCCGTGGGTGTCGTAAGAGCCGACTAAGGGAAAAAACTATGCAGAACAACAGCACTGCAGAGACAAGGAAAACTTGACACAAACCAACCCGTCTAGCCAGCGTGGTATAGTAGGCCAAAACCTCCTTTATAAGGAGAGGCTTATGTCCAGCAGTGGACTATTAAAGGCTGTTGATGATAGAGATATGTGCACAACGCCCACATTTACGTAGACATCTTTGTTGTTAAGTTTGAAAGTGATGGACATTTAATTATTATTTTTTGGTGTATTTCGTATTTTGTTTTCGTATTTTATTTTTCGTTGACTTTGAATTGTATAGTATTTTTTTTATTTTTTGTGCAAGTATGTAAATGTAAGTATAATTTAGGCTTGTAATGTTAATTCATATTTTATTATCTTTCTGGTGGTTTTGAGTGTTTCCACGGCCTACCCAAATGTCCTGCTGGCGGTAGTGTCATGCTTCGGGTCGTTGATCCTGACCAATATCGGTTAGGCTACACGATGGCTGGAGCCTGTATGCCGTCTGTATGGACAGGCTGACTCAAAACTATGGTCCTTTCCTCAAAAGGCCTATCCAGACCCTATACTGTACTCGCACAGTTTTATTTAACTTTGTTTACGGACTGAAAAAAAAGACACCTCTGTGGTTTGTTTCGGCGTTTCTTCCCAGAGTGAGTATTAGGAAATGCCGGCTCCTTCTAGCTATAAAGTCCAACTTGTAAAAATATCTGAAAAGATTTACTTACAGAAATAAATATCATTTATCACGAGTAATAAATGAGATTACAAAATATTTATTACAGTTTGATTTGTAATAATTTTTAAATTTTTAGTGCTCTTTGTCAGTATTGTTTGAAGTCGGTTTATCTTTTTTTTTTACATTTATATTGCTTATTTTATTATTTGACAGTTATACTTCGTCTACGAGTACATCCAATTTGACAGTGTTAAGATCTTCGATCAATAATAGTACTATTATTGATCTAAGAGCTTTTAACAAAAGATTGGAAGGTAAATTGTCATATCAGTAAATCTACTTTATAAGTATAATGAGGATAATCTGTCATTTCCCTATTTCTAAAGGTACATCCTTTAGCATAAGGATCGATGCGTGTGCACTTCTGCTTTTAAAAATAAAAAGTGTATTTTATGAGCATGGTGTGATATTTTTATTGTATACGAGCTTCCGCCCGCAGCTTCGGCTTGCGATCCTTTTTGTTAATATTAAAAAGTTATATCTTAGGATATTCTCAATTTACTGTATTTTACATTACTTTAATATACGCGAGGTACGCGAAAGCTCCTAGTATGCAAGTTATTTGCGAACTCTTCAACACTAATTATTATGTTTCACTCAATTTACATAAAAACAAAATCAATTATACACATATACCTTCCCAGAAATCTCACTGTCTATTGTTAAAAACCAGTCAAAAATCTGTTCAGAAGTTTTCAGTTTATCGCGGATACACAGACAGACGACGCGGCTGGGGGACTTCATTTTATGATATGAAAGGAAAATACAGACACTATTTTTTGATTAAGTATAGACTAAAATATCTGGCCACGGGTCTAGTGACAGGTCATTACCTTTTTGATACGGGTGTGAGTGATAACGATGATACCCTAAATCTCGGTCTCGGGTTCAAGAATTAACTTTGGTTGCAATCTCAAAAAAAAGGAATCGTTTTAAAAGAAGAAGCGTTTAGAATTTCGGTAGATGATTTGATGATTTGTCCGCCTGGGCAAAATCCCCAGCAGACAGTTGGTCGTTGTGGATTTGTTGCTCGTGTGGTTTTTTAAACCTCGAAGTTTCAATTTTGTTTAATCGAAACGCATTTTGATCGAAATAAGCTTCATCATTAATATTCTGACCTGATGTATAAATAAAAGTACTAACTGACTTTCGTGCCTCACTGTACAATGACTTATAGTATTCTATGTTATAAAATATAATATTTTTATCTCTCATTTATGTCTATTTTCACGTGATCTTTATTCATTCAATTTGACAATAACAACATTGTCAAAGTATAGAAGTATCTATTATCTCAAGATAATTCATACCTTTAAATTGCGTCAAGTTATGCAATATCTTAGTAACGAAGATCGTAAATACGAGTAAGTGTATACAAATATATATATTGTAGAAGCAGTAACAAACGAGGGTCACATATTGTAACTACGTCCTACATCTACACAATATTTTTTCTAGAATGAAGCCCTGACTTATCAGACAGTTTGGTATCTAACAAGGATAGTCAATGTTTTTAACTACCTCCTTGTGGTGGGCAATCAGGACGTCACTGGTGTAACCTCGTGCCCACCAATCTGCAGGACATCATCTTTACGACAGATGCATATCGTATATAGGTCTGAACAGCGCCCAGACGGCAATCGTTTCCAGAAGGTCCCTGGAGCTCGCCGAATTTGGGGTGGTTTGTGCAGTTCAAAAGATCAGCGGTCTGGGGCCTATGGGTAGCATCTTATAAGATGGAAGCCCTGTGGTCCCATCTAATCGCTCTAATATGAATATGTTGTTCGATATTTTATCATCTTATACTTGTTTTCGATATATATAGTATATAGTAATTATCGTGATTTCAGATGGAATTAGAACAAATCTTCGCTGAGAGAGTTGCTGTAATTCATTTATGATATAACTATCTTTGCTTTTTAATTTTGAATTCCTTTTTAAATTGTATCTAATATATTTCGATTGTTGAAAAAAATCATAATTATAAAAAGTTTGAGTATGATTATGAACGTTTAAAACGCTCCGTCGCTAAATATCATATTCTCAAAAGACCACATTCGTAGAACACAATATTCAAACCTACATACGAAACCTCTTAAACGCTAGCTGGCGAATTATGTTCTCTTAAGAGTAAAAATGACAATGTCATCGTTTGGTCATATTTTATTGCAATATTAATATTTCATGTGAGATAAATTCTGAACATGGATCAACCCAGTTGCAGTAAAAGTGAAATTAAATACATAGAAGTTAAAAAAATAAACTAGTATTACTATATGGAGGATATTGGTATAATTTTTATATATTAAAATATGAGTGCGGCACGACGAATTGGCGGTGTTCGAAGCAAAAGGATTGCCTTTACGTCCATAACACTAAATAATAACAATGAGATCATGAGACCCTAATAATACGATATGTCTCCAATAATAGCGGCCTCCTCTGATCCAGACGTGTAGCCCTAGTCCCTTTTGCTTTAATAGCTTTGCTGCATGTAAAGCTTTGTTGGTAGGACTCAACTGTTCAGTGACCAACAAGATTAAGGTGGTTGGTGTTTAATTTGTCGTTGAAGTTTTTTCCTTTTTTTTCTAAGATATTTTTCACCTTTATCAACAGTCGTACAACATCCTCAAACAAAATTCGACTGCGTCATTACTCCAAGAATAATATAATTCAAAACAGTCGTACACTAATAAAGTGCACCGTCAAAATTCTCAATTCAACACAACTAACACACAACTCAGTACAAATTCTAAATAATACAGGGGCACTCTGAGATGCACTATACTTTGCTGCTTAATCATTGCACTACTACTTGCGCTTTAAACACCTTTTATCAAATTAAATAGCTGGAGATAATGAACAACAACTTGTCTTATTGTCGGTAGCAACTATCAATCTGTCATCTAGGAGGTTTCCTTTATAATAAAATAAACGGCACTCTAGGCATATTTCACCTAACAAAAAAAAACTGCAAAATGAAAGTAACGAATTGGCTCCAACAACTCAATTACAGCGAGACAGATAAAATACTTGATATCCCGGGGAAGTGATACCATACAAACGCACAACAACACACGCACATCTACACACATACACACGCACAGACACACACACATACACTAGTACACATGCACACACACTAGTACACA